CACACCACAGCTCCCTTGGGAGAGTGACGGGTCACTCTCATGTAACCCCGTTACAACAGCTGTTATTTCATGTCCTGATGAATTACGACCGCTAAAGCCGTTACGCCTGATGAATGATGCGACTATTCAAATTGATGACATTTTATCAACCACTTAGTCTAATGTTCTATATGTTTTGCTATTCGCAATGATTCTGCAATTTACGTTTCGTCCAGAAACTTGGCTACAGTAGCTTTACAACCGTTCACGTTTCTGTAGCATTTCGTGAAGGGCGTTTCTTAGTAGTGTTCTGCTAAGTAAGTGATGATACATTACAAGATCATAAAGACTAAGGCGTTATGTATGTGCGTCATTTGCATTTCTAACGCTCTATTATCTGCATTTGCTGAGCCTAAACTAAGCTGACGTCGTGCGATCGAAAGTCTTGCCATTTTGCTTCTGTCTTGCATTCTGTCCGTTTGTCTTGTTTGTTGATGTCATTTACTTCCTTTCCAACAAATTAATGCGATCGAACGTTTTCATTATAGCACATACATGATTCCGTGCACGTCGGTAGCAGCTCAATGCATTGGTCTATGACCACTCGAATTACCTAAATATATGGAGTTGAAGACACATCAACCTTTGATTGAGATGTGTTTGAACCGTATGATAGCGTTGGTGCCTCGTAGGTGAAGCCTGTAAACATGCTTTTTGGTAGACCAGAACCACCCGACGATTTACTTAATGGAGTGCCGCTCACGGGCAGCTCTGTAAACTCTTTGTCGAAATTCGACGTATCTCCTTCTTCTTTAGACTGTGGGTCAGATGGTTTGAAAGGCGGTTCAGCCCATAAAAGACCATCCCAGTCCACAGAACGAAAGAATCGGTGGACTTTAACGTCACTTGCGCCACGACTACCCAAACGTTTATCAGGCTCGCGATGGAGCAACGACTGGATAAGTGAAGCCGCATCACGACTTAAGTAATTTGGTATTTCAAGTGGTGCCTCACGAATGCGTGCAAAGAGTTCTTGTCGATTACGTGTGTACCATGGAGGAAGACCTGTAAGCATCTCATACAATACCATACCAAGTCCCCACCAGTCTACAGCCGTTCCATGTCCCTTGCGTGCTAGCACTTCCGGTGCCAGGTACTCGGGTGTACCACATAGTGATGTAGCCCCACTGTCGATCTCAGTGACTTCGTCCTTGGCCAAACCAAAGTCTGCGAGCTTAATGTGCCCCATTTCATCAAGTAAAATGTTCTCCGGTTTAAGATCACGGTACACAACACCCAGTGAGTGTAAATGCTCAAGTGCAACCACAAGTTCGGCGGCATAAAAGCGCGCCATTTCTTCGTCAAACTTGCCCATACGTGAGAGATGAAAAAAGAGCTCTCCACCAGGACAATAGTCCAGTACAAAGTAGAGCTTTGCTTGGGTTTGGAAAGCATAGTGCAATCCAACAATAAAGGGATGACTAGCTACACTAAGCACACGACGTTCAGTCTTCGTATGTTCCACCTGTTTACGCTTAAGTAAGTGGGACTTGGTCAGTATTTTCATGGCAAAGACTTTACTGTTATTCTTCTTGCGCACAAGTGTGACTTTCCCAAACGATCCTTTGCCGATCACACGAATGAGTGTAAAGTCCTCAAGGCAAATCTTGTCATCAAAGTTTGTGCTTTCAACAAGCGCGTTAAGTTCCTTTGTCAACGCGCCATTGTCATTCATGATATTTGGATCAGTGCTCATCGTTTGTATCTGTTTAAAAGAAATCAAAATGGAGATTGCTATTGCTACGACGTAAAATGAGCGACACAATGTGCTCTAGACGCTGGAAAAACGGAAACTGACCCGATTCAACGCGACAAGTCACAAAGCGGTATACAACGAGGCGATAGGTGTGCTGAAGATGCGTCCCACTAGCTGAAAGTTCACTTTTCTGTCGAACTATTTCCACTTTATGAACCCAAAAATGCTCAAGTTGATCGCTCGTCAGTGCTGAATATTGCTAAATTACCTTCCGTCCTTGATGGTCCGATCTCGCCCTCTCCCCCCCTCTGGCTCGACATGGGTCCTAACGTGCGTCAAAACTTGGGTTTTTTATTCCACTTGAATTTAAGACATAGGTTTTATATCATAAGCCCAATTGATCTTAATAAAAGTCAAAACTCTCAAAATCAATACCGAAAATATACCAAACATGTCGAAAACCCGGAAAATGGCGGACGAACTCTATGAGACTAACGTTGGCATTCAACGCACCATACAGACACATATGACATGGGATCAACGTCGTCAGTTGGCAATTGATATCTCAAATTTAGCTCCACCTGATCTTTCTGGTGTTTTGTTAATAATACGCAATTATGGTCAAGTTCTTGAGATGCGCGAATTGCTACCACATAAACAGCATGTGTTACCATGGGAAGAGCATGTTCAAGATAATGTACAACTCATACCTCGAAAAGAAAATTGGGATAATATTCAATTGCAGTGTAGCTTTCGCTTAGATCATGCAGATGATGAATTGCTTCAGCAGCTACGGCAATATGTTGACGACTGTTACATTCCTCACTTTGTTCCAAAAGAGAATTGTAATATTTGTGAAGGACTTTGGTCATGTGGGCGTATTGTTTATTGTGGTAATGATGCATGTCCAATTCGAGTACATGAAGAATGTTTTGGTGTTGTCCTGCGAGAACAAATTGACGGTCCATGGCGTTGTCCGTCATGTTTACTTGGCAAGCAGCTTGTATGTGCTGTCTGTATGCAGTATGGTGGACCACTTAAGCCTTTAACTATGTCTGAATCATCTTCAGGTGATGAACAAAAGTGGGTACACGTCTTGTGTGCATTGGCAATTCCAGAGTTATTGATGCGAGATGTTCCCACTATGGAGCCTGTCGATGGCTTTGAAGAAATAGACAATGGAAGATTTCGATATTTATGCGCTATCTGTCGCAAACGTGGTGGTGCTTCCGTTATATGTGAGGCAGAGGGTTGTAATGTGGGTGTTCATCCACTCTGTGCAGCTGATGCTGGCCTTATGATTGGGAATGAAGGCAATTTGCTTGGAGTGTACTGTGATAAGCACTTGCCTACTTCTCGAATTCCAGGAGCCAAGCGCTGGATTAGTGATGAGGATCTCGTAGAGGAGATTATGAGCGAGTATTCGATTGACGAAGACTTTGATGCGGACGATAGCGATACATTACGTTTTAGTGATACTGAACGCTACGCTTTTGTACTAGAATCGACCCCATACTATCATTGTCAACAACAGTTGCTAGGTTCAACTGCTACATTTAACTTTGGTCCAGCTCCATTTTCAGCAATTGGTGATCAGACTAATGATATTGACCGAAAAACTTTTTTCGGGACGAAAATCACTGCCAATGCTTACGTACCACCGGCTATGGTCGTTCAGAATCTCAAAACGCAAAGGCCGATGCTCTACCCACCTCCAACGTTATCGTCTCGCGTGATGCGACTGGGTCTTCCCGAGTTTCCAAAAGAAACACATTTAGTTGGAGCTATTGTGGAGTATTCAACTAAAGCTAAGGATGAGTGGCTACGCGCTCGTGTGGTGCAGTGGGATAAGGAGAAGAAAGAGCATCTTGTGCATTTAATAGCATCCGACCAGAAGCTATGGACAAAGCTGAACGTGGAGAATTCATTGATACTGTACCTCCCAGATGAAGTGAATTTAGTGGATGGTCCAATTGTGAAGCTCATACGTCCCGTGATCAACGGCATCGTGCAGTGGCGCCCTAAGCCACGTCAGTTTGCACCTGCATCACCATGAACGACTGTGTACGATAGAAATATTAAACACACTTATAACTCTCTAAATACCTGTCTCTGTTTACCTAACTGCCATGTGATCGAATCGGTAGTTGAAGCTTGTCAAATGTCGAGTCTCATTTTCGACAGTAATGGCCATAAACTTTTCACCATTTCTTAAAACGCTTGGAAACAATCAGACACGTTGTTCAGCAATGTTTCGTTCGAATTGGGACTTGGTATCACCGTTTACTTGGCTTGATTCATTGGCTAATGAAGAAGAGTTTATGGGGCAAAGTTTTGACGAGCTCTACCCATCAACTCGTGTTCTTCTCTTCCCTCGTCAACGACAACGACAACTTGACGAACAAATGACCTATTCAGAAGGAGAGAGTATGGAGAAAGAGGAACCATCGCGTATCAATAAGAATGCAAAGGTGACGAACAATTTCTTTGACGACTTACCTGCTGGTGCAAAACTGATGGACACACAAATACCAGCGAATCTATCACCACCCGATTCTAAGGCTAAAGACGGTTTTTCCTTTTGCACCTACTCATACAGCACGTGTTTGACAGTGGACGACAATGGTTGTCGCGTAAATAGTACGCGTCGTCGTTACGAAGACTCGGATGGGCGTTTGAAAGCGCAGCATAAACGCCAAATTGGCACGTGTGAGCTTGAATCAACATGGAAGCGATCTTCCGATCAAGATGAAGGGTCGGTTGAGAATAAGGTCTCATCCGGTTCGGTTGAGGGTTTCGAAAAAGCGTGGAAACACACACCTTTTGGTGTTGCTGAAGAGCAAGCGAAAGCTCATGGCGCGAAGCAGCAGAATGTACTGCCGGATCAGCCTCTTGCGCAGGAATTGCCTTAAGGAAGTTGTTGTTTAATACATATGAGCATGTTATGAAAGGATCAGTGAGAAATCGAACAAGAAAAAAAAATTTACTTTGCTGCTTTAATTACATTTTGATGGCTTCTTGTCGTTTAGTAACACGCTCAGCACCCTTTGTCTGGTGATTGCATAATGTATGTGACATCAAAACAGTGTTCTTATCAAATCTCAACGTCTTACTTTTCATAAAGAGACATGACGTCTACTTCACAACCAACATTCGCTATGGTTTGCATGAACAATGTCAATCGTAGTACCGCAGCTCACGAAAGCCTTAGTGCAGCAGGTTTACGCGTTTGTTCCTATGGCGCTGGCAAGATGGTGGCATTTCCAGGCAAAAGTCGTACTGACGCACGCACGTTTGATTTTCTTACGGCGTACTCGGACATGCACGATACATTAAAAAACGAAAATGCTGCATTGTATTCAAACAACGGTGTCTTGCAGATTTTAAAGCGAAATATGGCGCTTAAGACCGCACCCGAGCGTTGGCAAAGTCTTAATCATCAGCAGCTTTTGAATATCAACATTGTCATATGTCTGGATCATGCCATGTTTCTTACAGTTCTTGAAGGTGCGGAAGGATATCATTTTATTGACTTGTTTATTGATTTGAAGTGTTGAGTCTTAGATATTAAATGGCGAATTCAACAAGGTTTGAAATTCAAACAACTTCATATCATATGCCTCGACATTGTAGACACACCTGAAGAAGCTTCTTTGGGAGGAATTTGCGTGCTTGAGCTTTGTCGACTACTGAATGTACAAACTACTAAGTTGACAGAAGAGTTTGTCAAGAAAACAGTAGAACAGTTTGAAAAGGACAACAACCAGAAACTTTTATATCTAGGACTGCACACAGAACCTTAAGGGATCCATGCTCTAGTTCTAAACGAGATTTCCATACGATAACCTCGTGTTTTGGCCTCACACATGATACAGTTGTTTCACGACCTGGTCGTGGAAATGACTACACGATCCATTAAAAGTAATGTGCGCCTAGTGCAGGAGAAACTTCGCCTTTAAGAGTCTGCGTTTGGGAATACAGAAAGGATGCGCTTTTCAAAAGATATTAAGGATAAACCTTGAGACTAAGTTCCAATATATACGATACTCAAACTTCATTTCTGCTTGACGTTTGACAGCCCCATACTTCTCATTAGTCAGTGCTCACAGTACACAAAAAGCGTACGCACAATGTACAATTGTGCAAGATGTGTGTGTAAAATAGTGCAGTGCATATTTTATATCAAATGGGCCCCGACTTTATCGTAAGCTCAGCATTTTGACAGTATATGTAATAGTTGTTGGAATTAGAGCTGAAGGTCATGGTTGTCCCCCTCGATGTCCGCAGCGTGCTCTGTACTTTGCGAAGTCAAGCTTTAAATTTGTCCGGCGTATGCTTCACAACTTGTCTTTCTAATTCGGTGTGCAAACTGAGTGCGAATCGGTAATCTGGCCATCATTCGGACCCAAGAAAGAGTCCCTATGGGGGTACGGCTGTAGGCGGTACTCCTGACGGGTGGTAAGCTGTGGAGTCAGAGGACGCTCACAGTGTGGCCTTCTCGCGCTCATTTGATATTGGCGCGAACGGAAGGCCCACGCACACAGGCATGTAAAGCCTCGGCTCCGGCGAGCCTAGCAAGATCAGATATACTGATTCATAATTTAAGCTTGACGAGACCTGTCGAAGTCGTTGTAACTCTCGCGCTTTATGACAAGCGAGTTGGGCTTTTTAAGTTTCATTGGTGACGGTTTCCCATAAAGAGCTCCGCGGCGGGGTCTCGCACTACTTTTGCCGTAGGAAACGCGCACAGAGTGCATATCTCATGCATACAGGGGGTGTCGGGTAAGATAGCATCGGTCTCGGCGAATATATGTTGCCAGGTGAGAGTGATGGCGACACTTCAAGACTCTAGAGTCGATACGACCGTTCCTAGACTCTCTCACTGAGAACGGCTTTAGAGTCATCGGCCAAATTAGACGCATCTTGCTTGAAATATCGTTGGACCAAGGTGAATACGAATAAAATACAACACAAATTTGGTTAAGAACCATAGATTAGACACAAGGGGGTGATGAATGGCCATTATTATCTTAAGCAAGTCTTGATCGCTCCAGTTTTATAACTCCACATCTTTGTCCTTTACCATGGTCGTTGGCATGACTTGTCGTGTGTTTTTAGGTCGATACAGCCCCATATCCTTCTCGCCAATTTAAAGCCATTCATCCTTGGCCGATGGGTATTTCTGTTTGGCTCATGCATAGCAAAGCCAATATCTGGCCGCGTGCTCATTGTGATTTAGTGTCCACAAACGACTGAGACTTAAAAATCATCGCTTCATCTATACTATTCTCCTTAATTTCATGCTGTTGTACAAATTTTGCATCTGCTCAAGATTGGCAACCTCGCCGCGTTATAATCCATATTATTTAAGAAGATCGTCGATAGTATTTTTTAATCTGAGTCGTAAACTTAATCTTCGTTTTACTCGATACGCATGCCCACGAACTTTCCTTCCTCTCATAAATTTTAAATCGTCAGTGCTTTAAGATTCGCAGACACCAATTCCTTCTTTGACGGCGTAAAAGGGAGGTTATTTACGTAGACGCCTGCACTCATCATGTCATTTCCTTGATAACGAGATGTTCGAAATATATCGGAAAATCCAACTATCAACAGTTGAGTACGAGGAAGTTCGCTTTACAGCTTACATCTCACTTGCCTTTAGTGATCCAAGAAGAGCCTTCTGGAGCCTTATTTTTTACTCGTGCCTCCTTGCCTACGAAGATCTACGTCATTAAATTTATGCTCTGGGTGTTATGAACGATTGCTCTTTCATTTCTGCCTGGACATATGCCCAAAAACATGCCTTCGTATATTCCATAAACACCTCATCAGTTATTCTACATGAATATCATATATTCTATCGTTCCGCATGGTACAAGACTCGCCATGAAGCTTTCATCAGCACCATCCGAGCCAATCTTGGTCTTAAACACTGATTTTGTAATAGGTTCGCGACGCCTTTTGTTGGTCCCATCACTACCCACACTTCATTACTCTCCATGTGGCTAATCTCTTTGCATCGCTCCACCCTCCCCCCGTTCGTCAACTTGCTTGTTGCTACTTAGTGAAATTCTGAACACTAAAAATTCCCGTTTGAGTCGACATCGATAGACTGCTCGTGTGCGTTATCTTTGGTGCGATCAAATCCTGCGTGTGCCCCCGCAAGTCCGCTGTGATATTTTAAGGACTGATGTTTTTTTTTGTCTATTTTCAATACTTTAGATCTATTCCAATAGATACCCCATCCAACAAATCAAAATGGTATATCCATTTTATATGTTTTTGCTCTACTCATCTATCAACAACTGAATACGTCACCAATGGTTAGGTTACTATTACCACCCTTCTTTTGCAGAATTGCTCGATGTTCTCCACTTTATTGATCATACCAATCATGAAGCCGGTCTTAAATTTTTCACCCAGTGACTTGTTCAAAGCACCAACATGCAACGTGCAACGAGAACGTCGCCCCAGATGACACAATTTGTAGTATGATGTCCGCATATACCGCTGCATCTCTGCAGAGCCTAAGTGATGGTCTATAGGCAGACGCAATGTTTCACGTCATTATCATTACCGTGTAATACAATCTCTCCGCCTTTCCATAACTTGTATTATTGCGCGGCTAGCTGTGTTGCCTTGCTGATCCTGTATCCGTACAGAGCAACTACAATGTAGTGTAGTCTCAGCCGCCATTTGTATGCAGATGCGTCAGTTAGATCGTCGCTCCAAAAAAGTGGCGAATGCTTCACTTTTTGCCCCTAATTTCTTATCACGATGCGATGTCTGCAGCAGTGAGCTCAACAATAGATATAACCAAACATGCACTTGTTTACCATACTGTCCTCGATTTATTGCAGCGGGGATGCCGTAGCTATTTCGCTGAGAATGAGTTACGTTAAGGTCGGTGACCTTCATTTTATACTTAGAATCAGTACGAGTGTAGCGGATCGCAATCCGCTACCTTCAAGAGTATTTAAAACCTTAATCAAGGTAAAGCCGCTCTTTCGTACAAAATTGAAACTGTATTCAATTTGTTTGCGATAGAGCCGCCAATATCTCAAATCTTAGGTTTCCGAATTGAATAGTGAAACCTTATTTATATGTATTACTACTGATAGTCTTGCCACGTAGTGGCTTCTTTTTACGATGTAGCTACACCATCGTGTGACTACACCAACTTGTGAGATTCACACCTATGTACGGTCACACCATCTTGTGTGACCCGCTCTTCCATACAAGGGTACGTGCAACCCCGTTACACTCTCCCTCATCAAAACTGTGAATACCCACAATTCACATTTAACTTTCGCCTCATACGAGGCTCGCGTGTCTGAGACATCGTTACGTCCTTGAGAACATTCTCGATCATTCTCCGCTCAATGAGCCCTGTGACTATGACACGAAAAGCACCCAGCCTAGCTGGTTCCAAAGGCGCCCGCAGGCAAAGTCCTTCGTCTACTACTATACGTAATGCATCTCCGGACAGTACGTCCGCGGCTTCACGGGAAACACATCCCGAGCCCTCGGCAACTGAGAGCCACACACCGCGCTCGTCACAGAGACGGATTTCTTCGTCGAGGATTCGGAGGACGTCGACTACGAGTCGGATAATCCTTTCTTAGCATGGGAAGACGAGGAGGATGAGGTGTGTCAATGGCGCGCCGTGAGCCAGCTCGAATCTTGCAAACATCGTGTCCGTTCCCCGACCTCTCGGCTTTCGGAAGAAGTGGTATTGTTAGCGATCGCCTCGACAAGGCGTTGAATGTTGCCTACAGGGCGTGTCTCATGCACTCATATCCACGTTCGGTCCTAGACCATCGTGTGGAATACGGCTTTCGCTCGGCGGATCCTGCTACTGGAGCGACAGACGCGATCACTCGATCGTCAGGCGTCTACATTGTCGATCTCCCGGCCACTATACAAGCTGAGCTTGACCAGCAGATAGATTTCCGAGCTCACTTCTTGGTATCCCAAAAAATCCCAATGGATAGGTACCGCGCTCATTTTCAAGTTCAAAGCGGAGGCGCTCCTGTACCCGCAATGCGGACTATTCCTGTGGTTATCGCCTCTGGCAAAACCGCTGCAGATGACGATGAGCTCTTTGAGCGATGGGTTCAGCGGTACCGGCAACTTTTCTTGCTGTATACTTTACAGCGAAGCCACAAGGAAGTGGACGTGCGCGTATAACGCCATCTTCGATTTGTGTTTGCCAGACTCAAGGCGCAACGCCAACTTCCTGTGCATTGTTGTCCTGCGACACTTGGAGTCATCCGTGACGCTCCCGCGAGCTTTTTGGTTTCTCACACGGGTGAGTCAACGACCACAGCAGCTCAGGGCCATAGCTTGAGATCAGTCCATGGTCCTCCGGCTTCCCTGGCTACCACCGAGAAGCTCGGGGCGCGCGACGACGCAAAGCGTGATGATCCTTCTATTCACAAGCGTCCACGACGTCTGGGCAGTCTTGCAGAAGCGGTACCTCAGATTCTCATGAGCTCTCGAAGTTTGGATATCCCGCCACGTCACAAGATATTGGGCTGGGATCTCGACCCACATGGCTCAATGAGAAGAGTCGTAGGCGGGCGATGATGACTTGGCTTATCGCCGTCCGATGACTCGCGATGCTCTCTGAGCGTTGAAGGACAAACTCCGTCGTCATCGGCACTCTGCAGAGCATGTCTCCAAGGGCGCGTACCGCAGCGCGGAAAACCTCGAGAGATTGGAGCACTTTGTACACCGACTGCCTCACGTTGAGGATTATCGCGGTCGGTCGAAGCTGCTCCTAGCCGTCGAGCAGACGAATACGTCACTTCGTGCGACGGTGGAGCGCCTTGCGTTGTCGAAAACAGAAATTGTTACACTCCGTGCTCAAAACCTCGGCTGCAAATTCAGCTTCTGGGTGACCAGGCGTTTTAAGGCACCGCCTCTGCGCCAACGCTTTCGTATTCACTTGCTCCGGATCCCGGTACGGCTTAAGCGAGCCCACATAAAACACCGATTGGGTGCACGTCCTTCTCAGAAGGCTCAGCATCTACGCGAGGCCTTGCTTGGCCACGGCCTTAAACGGTCGAAAAAACCGTGGACGGAGCTGTGTCTTAAAGACAGCAGAGACTGCATGTGTTCAGCATTTAATAAAACCAGGTCTTTGACCTTAACGTTTTCCACATTTATCTGCATCTTCTATCTGCATCGTCTATCTGCATATTCCTTCTGCATGTCTTGGCTTTAAGCCATCGCGAACGTGTCGTACGACATTCAGTCTGGTAGACAAGAAGGCATCATCTTCATTAAGGACAGTAAGGGGCTGACATTAGCTAGCCATTCGGCTATTTCCCCCCCACCAAGCCCTGAGTCATGGGATGGTGGCGTCAGCGGGACGGGAGGATTAATTAGCCCGCTCACGTAGAACGGCGTGTAGCCAGTAGAAAAATGCACTGCATTGTTCAGAGCAAACTGTACGAGTGGCAGCATGGCGCTCCAGCGCTTCGGCGTCTCAGCGCAGTTCTTACGAAGAACGTCTTCAACGACGCATTTCACGCGCTCTGTTTGACCATTGGTCTGCGAATGGTTCGCCGTTGACATAGTCAACTTGGTGTCCAGCACCCTGAAGATTGTAAAGCAAAACTTCCCAGTGAATTGGGGTCTCTGTCAGAGACAATTGTCCCCGGATGTCCACGTTGTCGAAAGACACGTTCGACAAATAGCGTCGCTATACCCACATCGTCGTTGGTGTCCGGCACTGCCGCAAGATGATCCATCTTGCTTAAACGGCCCGCAAAGACCACACATCCGTGTTGCCCGCCGAGTTTTTGACAGGCCAAGCACAAAGCTGATACTCATAAACTGCCAGGTACCGGTAAAATAGTTAGCGGTGCCGCCGCATTCGGAGTGAATTTGTTCCGCTCTGACACGTCCTACACGTGCGCATATGTATGCGTGTCCATTTGTACAGCCTAGACCACCAGCAGTGGCAACTCACAGAGCAGTAGGTCTTTACAAGATCGAAGTGGAGTGTCGTGGGCCTCATAGAGGATACGGTATTTTAAATCCTCATGGTGAGCAACCACCATTCGTTGAATCGGTGCTATACTACAGCAATGCGTTACTCAACAAATATCGGTGTAACCGTGCGCTCAATCGCGCCGACAATTTTTTGTCCGAATCTCCAAACTTCTTGCCCCCGAGAGCCTGTAGCAGCGCTACACACATACCATCAAATCCGTCACTGACGACGTCACCGTCGTAAAGTGAGCAAGCCCATAATCTGGTCTGCGTGACAACACATCAGCCAAAGCATTATGCTCTCCTTTACCTCAAGTTTATACTCTGCGAAGAATGAGAGCCACCTGGCCATTCTCTGCGAGAGGAGAGGCGACTGAGTCGCAGTGCGTAAGGACACATGATCCGTGTAGATCATAAACAGCTTTGAGCCAAATAGGTGCACCCTGAACTTGACAAATACATACTTCACCGCAAGTAAATTCATGTCGTGGGATAGGTAGTTCTTTTCCGCAGCCTTATGCTGGCGATATTTGAACTCGATCATCCGATCTCACCCCTCGGCGTCTACTTGCAGCAGTGTACAGCCGATGGCAAAGGCCTAAGCGTCACAGAAACCCTAAAAAAACGGTTGGGGTCTGGCAACGCCAATATTGGTGCATGGAGAAGCCTGTCGTTGTCCCTGTCAAAAGCCTACCGATGCTCTGTGTCCCAACACCATTCCAAAACCTTCTTAAAAATTCGACGATGGCCGTGCCAATTCCGCATAATCTGCGCTATACTTATGCAAGTAGTTGGCGAGGCCAAGCCGTTTAATAGTAGGGTGGGAGGGGCTCTACTGACAAAAAAGCCACACAGTGAATTGAGCGGTACGGACCCGGTCCCAAAATGGGTCGGATAGCTACCAGCAGCCCGCTCTAGAGAAAGCTTAATGAGATCCGGTAGCTTGAATATCTTACGCTTTTGCTGGAACTTGTCCCACCGAGCCATACCTAACCCACACAACTATCGCGTGATCTGCGTAGCAGAAAATTGTCCCGAGCCCAAGTCAATTCGTGCTTCACCTTTTGCAACATAGTATAGGGAGTGTTCTATCAATCTTTACCGATCGCTTGTCACCACAGCAAAACTCTCCATGCTTTTCACTGGCGTAGCAAACGTGTGTTATAGATTCTGCATTGCGTGATCCAATAAAGAATGCTCTTTTTACTGCCCTCAACTTGTTGATTTAAGTACCTTTCCGTCATCTTGACGAGATGACGTCTTATATACGTCGTTGACCTTAACCACTGGAATTCGCTAGCACGCTCTACAAACCGTATTTATCCTGAAGCGTTGTCTGTTTGACAAATGCCGCCACCAAGCTCATGATTGAGCTTTTTTCTATCCGATGGCCTTATCTCTGGCTTCCGTTGCCGTCCAGTACCCTCACACATATCGCAGACCACGCGTTTACCTGCTCCCGATACACTTGTGGCGACTTACAGTGCTGTGGCAGTCCTAGGTGCAGGGCTTGAGCCATCTTTACGTTCCCAATCGAAGCCCTCAGCCGATAATATTCTCAATCTAAAATAAATCGTCGATAAATAATCGAAAAATTGCAATCTGCGCAGCGCTCTTACTTCCTTAGCGCTTTCCCGTTTCCAGGCGCTTACGCAAATAGACTTAACCTCGGGCTCATTGAGGCCTGTGATGCCTCTAGACGATTCATCCACTCTACAAGACCAATTTGCAAATATAATACATTCCTTGCCTCCTCGTTGACTCCTCCTGCTGGCCGTCGACCAGCATGTCTTAAGATTCTGCTCTGTTAGGACAAAGAATTGTCTATGTAGAAATGTGACTATTTAGACTAGAGAATGTACTGTGCTGCGATCATAAAGAAGTGAAATGATGCTCTAATTGCCTTATTCAATCACAATTCTTCATTCACTAGGGGCAACATCATCTCTTACGCCAGCCTGGTTCTTAAGCCTTGTCCATCCAGTCGTTTTTATTCGTTATCCTCCAGTTGGCTTAGTCGTCAGACGATAACGCAAGCTCGTGTGTACACCTTATATTACGAAACAAGACCATCTGCAATATTAAGCACGCATTATATCCTTCAACAATCCTACATAATCTAATCTGGATCTCTCAGCTTATTTTTAATATCAACAAGCTCTCACATTCAGATTGCCGCCACTATGATTGGGCTTTGATAAATCGATATTGTACTATCTCGCCATATATCCATCATACACGTCTGTATTTCTATTCGCATATGAGATGAACTCATACCCTCATCTATTCCTTGATTTAATATTATAATGTCGTCCAGCATTCACGTGAGATCGTGTACTGGTTTTGTGTGGTCTTCGGCTTAACTACTTTGCCTTGTTGTGCCTTAAGTTTAATTTTATTTAAAACGAATACGACTCGAAAGAACGTATATTATTCCTTCCTACAATAACCTTCTTTATCGAATAAAAACCCCATTCGTAATCTTGGCATCCCTCGATCTAGCCACTACGGTATCCATGCGTTAGGTCCTTTGCTGGCTTCTTTTGTGCCGTACGATGATTATCTTAAAGGATGTTTGTCAGGAAATGATCTAACGTTAAAGCCGGATGTGTAGATCACTCTTGGTATCAGTCGTACTACTTGAAATAATGACCTAGATATACAGTGAGCGGTTATGAAACAAAGGATTACGCACGATAATGTCCAGGTTATAGTCAGCCAGTGGGTACCAAAGGTTAAAGTACAGTTATATCCCTTGACTGAATCTTGCCTTGCATCCAGAACACAGTCAATAATTCGAGGTGCAAAGTGGTGACAACGTAGTTAGAATGACAAAAAGTAACCGGAGTATAATATACGAAGACGGGGCAAATGCAGAGATGACAACGACACCATGGCTTCATACTGTCAAGTCGTGCATCTACGTAAATTACACAATAGCAGATCAATCCTGTACCGAAAAAAATGGGAATTTTAATGTATACGTGAATAATATGATACATGCTTACGTGAAGTTGTCGTAATCTAGTCTTCCTGTCATGGCCTCCGTTCAAGAATAGTATTCGTCAAGTATTCATCGATTGATTATAACACGTATGACAGTAGTTCGAAGAAAGAGATTATGACGCGATGAACAAGTCGTAGCACTGGACTTGTACCCGTTTCTCTTCTTGTTTCTTCCTTCTCTTCCAATATCCACTGTCTTTTTCAAACTTGCTCTTTCCATTTCACCTTCTGGTGAAAGAGCATGTTGCTAAACACCGTCTGGTTGACTATGCTGTTGTCTGGTCAACGCACATCCACATGTCGCTCCGCATGCATAAAAATTCTCTCACATCGCATTAAAATCTCTGCCTCTTCCTTAAGCACATGATGGCACCCGAGCCTAGTCGTCGTTCAAGACGCCATCGGAGCCAGTCGCGTCCGCGTCCACGTGAACATTCACCTCTTCGAGAGCCTTCACACCGCCGTCCTCCACGTGATGCTAGTCCTCTCTACTCCCCCACACGTAAACGCTCTGATCCTGAACCACGTTCCCATCGTCACAAACCAGTTATGCATCAACGCGCTAAATCGCGACCGCCTCAATCGAAACCTGGTATGAATGAAGTTCGAGTCAGCGTTAAGCGCCCACGTGTGCGTTTCAGCATGGTCGATGTTGAAGGCGCAGCAAAGGCGATTTCAGCTAAAGCTACATACAGTGGATTTCTACGCAAGCAAGCGGATAATGAACCAGGCGCGTGGAACAAATACTACTTTGTAATAAAGCCGTTGACGTACCTTTTGTACTATAATACAAAAGACGATGACAAACCACGAGGAATTATCGACCTGGAGTACTTAACTGATGTCAAACGTAACGTTGATTGTCTACAACGTGCAATTGGAGGAAGTGACAATTGCTTTCGAGTGTCGGGGAAATTACCACGACCAACTGCAGAACAAGTTGCTATGGGTGAAGTTCCAAAGATGCGACCACTGTATTTGGACCCTGAGAGTGCTGAGGATGCAGAAGAATGGATTAATGCGATTCGTAATCACCGGTTTAGTGTGAAAAGAGATAAAGAATTTTTTGCCATTGCACAACAAATGCGGGACGCAGAGATCCGTGTATCACGACTTGAAGAAATTAAGGTGAAAGAAGCTGAAGACCAGCGCAATCTTCGTGCGAAAGCTAAGAAGTTATTGCAACAAATGCGAGCGGTTCAAAGTGGCAATATGGACGAGCTTCCAGAAGTGACTGTCGACGACCTCGATGATACTGCTGACACTATGCTTGCTCTTTTGGAAGGAATGGAGGATGCATTGGTGGGTTTGCAAGGAAAGCTGAGTCAACAAAAGTTAAATAGCGTGGAACCAACGAACATACGCAAAGGCTTTGCACAAGTGATGCAACGCGCTGTATCGAGGCGTGAAAATACACACTTTGTCGAACTTGATGAGAAAGAGGAGACGCTTGCTGCCATAAGAAGTAGAAGACAGCGTAATCAGGAAATGCCTAAGGAAAAGGCAGGTACCGTAGCGGAAGTGCCGCGCGAGAGAGTCAAAGAAAAGTCAAAGGAACTACCAATAGCGAAGGCGAAGGTTGAAAAAAATACCAAAGAGACGAAGAAAGAACCAAAGGTGAAATCTCAAGATGAAGTGAAGATCGAAAAGAAAAAAGAATCAAAGGAAATGGTTCAAGAAGACGTGCCTGAGCTCGAAAATGTGTCGGATGTTCTTGCCATGTGGAAGGCAAAGAAGAAAAAGAATCCGTCATCAGGAAAGCCGACTAACTCAGAAGACAATACCTCAAGAAAAAGAACAAAATCTCGATCGAAATTGGACAAGCTCATGTCAGCACCAAAATACCAAAGTGGCGATCAGTTGTCGGAAGAAGACACACTTTCAGTTGTATCGTCGGATGAAAGCGATTGTAGTGAGAAACTACCTCCTGGTTGGACTAAACATGAGAGTCGGGGGTACCCTGGAACCTACTACTATGCTCACGAATCAGGCAAGGTGAGCTGGGAAGTACCAACTGAAGAAATGATTGATGGCACGGATTGCATTAGTGATCGCGAAGACCAAAGCGAACTTGAAGATGGAGATGTCTACAGTGAATACGAAGTCGAGGAGGAAGTCGACATTTATCCTGATACTACTAGGACAATTGACACAAGTCCTGAATATTCGAGTGAATGCGAGACTGATCCAGAGACTGCAGGCGCTACCACATCAGCAGCGTATCGCAGGAAAAAGCCAAAGCCGAAATCGGCGTGGGCATTTAAGCTTCCAAAGCTGCTACCGACGAACCCAACGCCAGCTGCGCCAACGGAAGCCGCTGCCATTTCGTCGTCCCCAATTCGCCACGGTGCTAACCATCATGAATTCTAATGCCGGAGCATTCTTCTACTACCGAATTACTGAAACTTGTAGATGTTAAATCTAACTTGAGCAATGTTTAAATCACTCGCTAAAATCTCAAACTACGCTAATGTGCATTGAACATTGTTATTACAAGTATCGTGTGTCGTAGCGTCCTACATAATGAATCTCATCATCAGTACAAGCACAAGTTTTTAAATTTAGGGGTCAGACTCAGGATGAAGACGAAATGAGTATGTCATGTGAGCCATTTAAGCAAATAGCCCAGGAGAACTTTCCTTTAATCATTACATCGCTATCCGCTTAAACCATACGGATCGAACACATTTTGACTGTCAGTTCCTCAGCGCCGTCTGCTAAAATTTGTAGGCATTAAAGCTTGCGGCGCTCCTCTGCTGGAAATTTGATGTGATTCGAGTTCGAGTAAAGCGCAATTGGCCCTGCGACGGCTGCCATCGCAACAAGCGCCACGCTCGTCTTACGCTGCCAGTTCTTGGTTTTAGCCCACCAACCGCCTGCTGGAGACCATGTGTACTTTGGGTACGGATACTCGCCGCCACCGCTCATAATTGTTTAAGTGGTAGACTATAAAATATTACATTTGAAAAAAGTTTGGAAATTGACGTTAATGATTTTTGTGCAATAATTAGTTTAGAGATAACCCAAAAAAACTTTGAGAGCTAATCATTATGATTGCATGCATAACAAGCTAAGAGAGACCTTCAAGCTCTAAACCAATAGGCAAATGATCACTTCCAATGACACTCTGCCGGATGTAAGACGAGCGCTATGAACGCAAAAATCGATACATTAGTTAACAATCAACGTGCAATATCCGCCAATCTTTCTTGAAACGTACCACATTTGACATTAAGGCCTTTGAGACTACAAAATAGTCTAGCCGCCATCCTTTATTCTTCATACGCATATTGTGGCGATATCCAAAGTATGAATACTCTACCTTATCAGGGTTCAAATGTCTGAATGTGTCAATAAATCCATTCTCCAATATTTTGCCAAAGCTCTCCCTCTCTTCATCTGTAAAGCCTGCACTCTTGCGATTTCCTTTAGGATCGTGAATGTCAATCTCTTGATGAGCGACATTCAGATCTCCACACCAAATTACTGGCTTTGACTTCTCCATCTCTTTCATTTCTCGTAACATAGCCTTGTCCCACTGGTTCGTTCGGAAATCTAATCGCTCTAACTTACCGCCTGCATTCGGCACGTAAGTATGTACAAGCCAAAACTTGCTATACTCTAACGCCAAAAACCGTCCTTCTTGATCTTTTCCATTATTAGCCTTTGGTACTCCTTTTGACTCATGGTCGCCCAGAACAATCTCGTCTTTCACGCTCAGTGGCTTGGTCTTGCTAAAAATTGCTGTGCTAGCGTACCCTTTTTTCACTGCGCATGACCAATACTGATATTCATACTGTGGCAAGAAATTCTCAAGTTTTCGAAGCTCATCAGCGCATATTTTCGTCTCACTAAGACAGAAAATATCAGGGTCTTCTTGAGCGATGTAAGCACGAAGGTGGACACTTTCATCTCGCTTCAAAACAGCTCGTAATCCATTCACATTCCAAGCGACAATTTTTGTAGTAATGTTATCTGCACAGCGTTTTGAAACGTCTTTAAAGCATGGATAAGCGTCAATTCGGGCTTGAAATTCGGCGGAAATTGGCTCTGCCGCCAATGGATAAGGACGCTCTTGAGTCTTGCTTGAGAATAATGCCCCCCATGCGCTCTTATTGTCCGTGGAAGTTTTGGTCTTTTTCGACTTGGACAATGTGCTGGAGCTGGAGACTTGAACGGACACTTTAGTAGCGGTAGCTGCACTTTTCCGCTTCCTTCCGCTTCGTGAATCAGTGACAGTGGCCACGGCCTTCTCTGTTACCGTCTTAAGTCGAGTACTTTTACGGGGCATTTTTGTGGTGGTAATACTTTGGAATCTTTATATTTGAATTTCTATAGGTTTATAAACCAGAAATAATCCATTACAGTGGATGTAATCCGGAAGTAATCAGAGCTCAATGCTGATAGGGAATTCCGCCGAAGGAACCCACCACGAGAGCGTTGGCTGAATTAGACTAAACGAGATTTGAATGCTTTAATGCCATAATCTCTATGTATACAACACAACTCTATAATTACATTCAGTACGTGCAGGATTGCATCAGTGAAGACGTGCACGTATCTCAAGCAATTAAAGCTATAACGATGTCCTACGGTATTAAAAGATGTAATGTAGCTTATAAGCCTGATATTATATTAGTAAGAAATATAACAGTTAGTGTATACTATTTTATACATTGCTCGATAGTCTACCTCTCAACTAAAAGTTCGTAGTGATGGAAACGTTTGTACCACTTGGCGATCCAAACCTCATGTACGAGATGGATCTAAGAGTGAATGAACCTGCACAAGTCGAGATGCAGGTAAAGAATAGTGTAAATGAAACTGGTATGGTGACTGGCGAGCAGTTAGAAGAGGAAAAAAGGCACAGCGAACCATTAACTGATGATTCTAAACGACAGCGATATTTGCAGCGTCTACTTAATCTTGAAAAGAGGATGAAGAAGGAAGAAAATGTATTACAGCTGCAAATTGAGATGATGAAGCAAATTTTGGAACTCAAAAACCCCATGGAGCAGCTTTCGGCATATCTGGCACTGAAGCAAGAATTTCAGCAAGAAAACGAGGAGGAAGTGGTAGAAGATTTAATGAGCTGTGCGAAGCATCTAACGAATGAGGAAGACAGTGAAGTGGCTATGCTTGGAGCGTTTTTCTATCTTAAAGATAGACAACGACATGTCAACATGCGTGGGATGGGGATGATGATGCATGTTGTAGCAGCCATGATAGGGAGATCTACTCAAGTGGATGTTCCACCTGCTATGAAAACATGATGAAAACGAAATATTTAAGACTTCCATTTAAAAAAATCGCAGTGACTATTTGAACACTTGAAAAACGTCCGACCTTGATTTGTTCCATTCTTGCATGTGAGTAAAATGCCAACCAGTCCACACTTACACAATGTTTCATTGTTCGTGTTGTTATCTGTTGAAGGGGGAAAAGAGGAAGATGTTGATTGACGAGAAAGAGATTCAATCTCATCCTTCCACCCAGCAAAACCACAGCTCTGTGCTCCCTGAAAGCTGCAAGTATAAAAGTCACGATTTTGGTTCGAACCAGCCTTACGAGTGGTCCGCACGACACAAGCAACACCATGTTTCGAACACTTGGGCACATTTGAGGCAAGAGTGAGTACTTGAGTAGATGAAGTGACGGATGCATCAGGAGCTTCATCCTTCCACAAAAAATAATCGCAACGGTTGTCGGATTGACTTCGTCTGCAAGTCCAAAATTGCCGTCCTTTGTTCGGTCCGTCCTTCTTGACTGTTCTTTCGACACAAGGTTCATTGTGACCAGAGCAAGTAAAAACGACGTTCGAGTCTGAGACCCAAGCGAAAAATTTGCACTGTTCACCTTGAGGCAGCTGGCAGACGTAGAATAGTCGTCCAGTATTTGGACCGTCACGAGTCACTTCTCTTTTCACACAAGGCAAATTGTGGTCTTCACACCGAGGTACATCTGATGCCAAACTCAGATCATGATACGATTGACTATCGTCATGTGTTGAGTCTGCAGTCTGTGATTGAAATCTCCGCTGTTGATCTTGATTTAGATTACCAGCAATTGTGCTGTTCACAATTCCACCATTCTCAACCCTACCAGAGTTTGGGCTGTGGGAAATTCTATGTTGAGATTCCCTATCACCTCTCGTTTCACCGTTTGATGACAATCGAGACTCAGAAGTGCTATGAATCGATTGGCCAAAGTGGTCCGAAAAAGTCTGGTCAAGCACAGTAGCACTACGTGTAACCTCTACAAAAATGGTTTTCATCTAACAACAGCAACAACAAGACATTCAGAAGGATACATAAAGAAGTTGTTTGTACTTATCACATCAAACCTCCTTCATGCACGAATCGACGACCTCCCGAAGGGCTTTTTGTCCCAACGAAATGGCTTTACAGTCCTTTTCCATCTACAGTAGCCAGGAACAGCAGTGAGGATAAATGTAAGATACGACGATCCTTGTTTCTTCAACTCACCGTAGCGCGAAGAACTGGTTTGGCCAGCTCAAGACCCATGTGTTCATATGATAGAACGAGTGCCAACCCGAGTGTTGTAGGTTTAAATTGCGTGTTATTATTCACTTTGATTGCATACTCTCGCTTTAAAATGGTCTTGATATGCTCAGCAATCGTAGCATCTGTCCCTATGCCATTTGAATCCATCTTTGCAATCAAATCAGCTTCCGATAGAAGTGGTGGTGGGTTTGTCTCTCCTGGTACCATCACAATTGTTGACGGACGAAACACATTACCCCGTTGATACACAGGTATAGCGGAAGCATTCCACTTTTCATACTTGTAGATCTCCAAGTAGTTTCTTTCCTCCACCATCAATCCAGAAGCTGTAAAACTTTCTTCTAAGATTTTCATAACAACATGTGTCTGACTTCCCTTTGCATCACGACTACAACATGCTAAGAAATGGAGAGTGACAAATTCGTACACCTTTTTTTCGTTGGAATCTGACAATGAGTTGAGTTCAACACACTTGGTTGGATGAATAGGTGGATGAGCTTGATCATCGGAATTTCCATGACGCGGAGCTTCAAATTTTTCACCATTCAGCAGCGCTAGTCTCACGTAATTTCCCCATTGATGATGATTTTCATGAAGTTTTATCAAACCCATCAAGTCTGTACCTTCTTTAAATTTACTAGTTTCGGTACGGGGATAGCTAATCAAGCCTTTATTGTACAAGCTTTCAGCAGCTTTCATCGTGGCCTCTGATGAGATCCGTAACCATCGTGAAGCTCGTTTTTGCAGCTCCACTGTTGTGAGCGGTAATGGCTTTCTCTTGAAGCTTGGTCGCTTGTCAACAGATTCAATTCGTGCCGTTTGGCTCTCCAACAGACATTCATAAATACATAAACACGCCATACGGTCAAAAAGATGTTCACGTTTCCACTTAAAGGTTGTCATAGGTGCATCAGGTTGATCCATTTGCTTGTGTGTGACTTGTATGTAGTAAAAATCTTCTCGGTCAAAGTTTTGAATCGTGAGATATCGTTCGACTACAAAGCCAAGAGTTGGAAATTGACACGGTCCATAACTAATGACCTTATTTTCTTGATTTAATAATGGAAATTTACCCTTGATACGCATTGTTTGGAATCTTGTAAACGCGGCTCCAATTCTTAAATCAATCTCGGACCGAGCATCGACTGCCAAGGAGAGCTTCTCATCCGGTACAGACAAATTTTGCACTGCATGAGTAATATCACGAGGAATAAGCGCTGAGAACCGAGCACGAAATACTTGTAACTTTTTGTTGGCTCTCTCACAAATGCTCTTTACCTCGTAAGCAATATTTTCACCCTCTCGATCACAATCCAGCCACAACACAAGCCACTAATAAATCACAAAGTACTTAAACTATCATTAAACAACTACCAACGTCAACTTGAGAGCCATACCTTACACTGTTTTGTCTCTTTCAAAAGTGTCTTTTCAATCTTCTTTTGAGTTTCATCGCTTCGTATCCTTTTATTCACTGGTGCTGTAAAAAGTTCGACAGGATCACAAGAATTCCAACTTCGAAAACTATCTTGAAATTCTAATTCCATTATGTGACCTATTACGGACGTTACGACCATTTGTACTTGTTGTCCTTGAATCTGATACGGAAATTCAAAGATTGCATTGTACTTGGATAACCCGGCACGCTATTGAGAGACACGAGAGAGTCTGTACGTGAGAAATCATTTAAAGACGCAATAAACAATAAATGTCCAACTCACGCGCTGTAATCGACCTGATGACAAAATGTTAGCAATTTCTTTAGCTACTGAAGGCTTCTCGGCAACGTTAAGCACTTTCATCTGCTGCCCCGAGATGCAGGATAGATGAAAATTGACAACAACAAGCAGTGTTTATTGACCTGCTATGACATCGGACATTGATGAGATAGCTTAGATTTTATAAGTATATGATTATTATTGATCAAAATTAACAGGTTATCATTCTATGAAGCCAACGCAAAGTGTACCTAAATACACTTTGCAGCGGGACTGCCGTAGCTTTTTGCTTAGAAGAAGGTACGCTAAGATCACCGACCTTACGTTCTATAGTGGAACCGGTACCAGTTTAGCGGTAACTCCAGAGTACTTAAGAACCTTAATCAAGGTAATGACGCTCTTCCGTTTAATTATTTTAGTTGCGGCAGAGCCGCCAATATCTAAAACCTTAGGTGTCTTAATGAATACAATAAAACCTGATTTATATAGTAAAACCTAGTTAGTATGCAATACTACTGGCAGTCCTGCCATATACAGTAAAACCTAGTTAAGGCTCGCGTGTCTGAGACACCGTTACGTTCTTAAGAACATTCTTGAACATTCTCCGCTCAATAAGCCCTGTGTTTATGACACGAAATACACCCAGCCTGGCTAGTTTCGAGGGCGCCCGCGGGCAAGGCCTTCTTCTTCTACTGCAAGGGGTGCATCTTTGGACAGCACGTCCGCGGTTTCACGGGAAGCACATCCCAAGCCCTCGACAACCGAGCGCCACACACACCGCACGCCACGGGCAAACGGATTTTCTTGACGAGGATTTGGAGGAAGTCGACTATGAGTCGGATACTCCTTTTCCAGCGGAGGGTGAGGTGTGCCAACGGCTCGACGTGAGCCTTGCTCGAATCTCGCGGACACCGTGTCTGTTTCCCGATCTCTCAGCTTCCGAGACTTTCTGGACTCGCGATGCGGACTATTCCTGTGTTGCTCGCCCCTGGCAAAACCGCTGCAGATGATGATGAGGTCTTTGAGCGATGGATGCAGCGGCACCGGAAACATCTCTCGCCGTCTACCTAGAGCGAAGCTATATGGAAGTAGACGTGCGTCCAGAGCGCCATCTTCGATTTGAGTTTGCCAAACTCAAGGCGCAACGCCGACTTCCTGTGTATCGTCGCCCTGCGACACATGGAATAATCCATCACGCTCCTGCGAGCTCTGTGTCTTATCACACGGGGGAGTCTACGACCACTGCAGCTCAGGGCCATAGCTTGGGCTCGGCTCATGGTCCTTCCATTTCCAGGTTACTGCCGAGAAGCGCGGGGCTCACGACGGCGCGAAGCATCATGATTCTTCTGATCATAAGCGTTCACGAGGTCTGGGCAGTCTTGCAGAAGTGGGACCTCAAACTCCCACGAGTTCTCGAGTTGGATATCCCCGTCACCTCACAAGATGTTGGGTTAGTCCCTGCCGACGACGTAGACCCACAAGGCATTCCACGTGGTAGTGGACGCTACCATTCTCATCGAGAAGAGTCGGCGGCGGACGATAATGACTTGGTCGGTCGCCGTCCGGTGACTCGCGATGCTCTTCGAACGTTGGAGGAAAGTGTCCGTCGTCATCGACACTCTGCCGCATCTTGCCGAGGTCGCCTACCGCTGTGCGAAAGGCCTCGAGAGCCTGGAGCATATGTACACCGACTGCCTCAAGTTGAGGATTATCGCGCTCTGTCAGAGCGGCTCCAGTCTAATGCCCATTTCAGTAGCGCTTCTGCTTCATAGCAGACGTGGGTTCATAAACAGTCAAAGCTCCACCAGAAGACGTGCGCAAGGCGCCCAACGTCTTCGACCTTCAATCGAGCCATAGATCATGGTGTTTCAACCATGTATGTTATACCAAGGATAAGGTCACACCCTGCATCCAAGTCTAAAACTAAGCAGCGCTCCACGCTATTGAAGTCAAGAACCTTGACACCGAGGCCCACAGGGACCCTCGGCACAGTGACACAAATCCCCGTCGCTTAGCGAATAGTGACGGTGTTACTCAACCGCGCTCCCAGAGCCTCAGCATACAGCCGACTTCATTCGATCGTGAAGCGTCAAGCATAATTGCCCGACGCACCATAATCTATAAGAATTTCCATGGCTTATCAGAGCCCTTCACGGTCACTTTTACGACCAGAAAGCCCGGCTTGCATACACGTTTCGTGTTCAAAAGCACGAAGCTCTTCGGGGCTGGACTCTGCTGCCCTCTACCTCTTTGAGGCTCAACAGAAGTCAGTTCTTCCCCAGTGGGCGCCCCGCGCCTACTGGGTGTTGTCGTTTCCCCGCGACAAACCAGACTGGTGAGGAGCAAGACGTCGGTTTGACGAACCTTGACGCTTCTTGCGCAGGGGACAACCAGTCCGAGGGTGAAGGGTGTCTCCACAGACAAAACATCGTCGGGTGTTTTGACGCGGCCCGGCAGCTCTGAGATCTCCCTCATCTTTTTCACGATAGCCAATATCCATCGGCGCAGGCCCGCTCGACGAGCTCTGAGGGTGTAAATACAATACCATATTCACCACTTCTTCAAAAGAAGACGGATACACACGGGAGACTTTTATAATGGCCACGCCAGTGCGGAGTCCCTCAATAAAGACGACCGCCTCGGGCATTGGATCGGCTGCCATCCCGGCAATGCGATTTCGCAACTCTGAACAAAGTCCACTAATTCCTTCTTACCCTTTCGGGTGGCAAGGAAACGCGATCGCACGCGATATGCCTGGTTAGGCGGCGAGAAAACTCGCAAAAGCTGCAGCTTCAGCTCCTTCCAGGATGGGAACGCCACTTCGAACGGAGCGCCGCAGGTCAGTGCCCATTCTCGCGCTCGGCCCCCGAGCGTAAAGATAACTAGCGCCACGCGCTGTTGCTCGTTCTGGAGCGCTGCGGATGCCATAGCCATCTTCGCCACTCTCATATAGAGCAAAAGAGCTTCTTCATCCTTACCCTCGAAGGTCTTAACGCTCACCTTGAGCGGCGTGGGTCGGAAAGAGCGCCCCGTCAAGCAGACTGATGTTGTCAAGGAGACGTTTCGACGAGCAGCCACTAACCGGTAGATATCGGTATTACCGGTGCGGACAGGTGGATTGTGCAAATTGCTGTTTCGTCCGTCAGCCACGTATCCAGTGAATCAGGCTAACTACGAGCGCTTGAAAGAAAGTAGGTTCAGTAAATACTCAATTAAATAGCTGACAGAATATTCAAAAAGTATCCCAGAACAATTTGATCATTTTCATTCCAGAACCACTTGAACAATTTTCAACCTTCCCACGCACAAGTGTTAGCAGATGTCAATGTGCTTGGTGCGATTATAGAATTCAGTATACTTGGCAAGCGCAGCGGAACCTCGATCATCTTCATAGATCTTGACGAGATCGCTGCTTTCTATCGCGCCAAGCTCGAAAAGAAAAGACTTAAGCCAAGTAGCTTCTTTGGTAGTTTCACTTAATGCCAGATACTCAGCTTTCGTTGGTGATGATGCCACTATGCGTTGCTTTTAGCTCCTTCAGCTTATGCGTCCATCGTTTATTATAAACGTAAAGCTTCTTGTACTACGTCGAGTCTCGACATCGCCAGCCAAATTTGCATCCGAAAAACCTTGGAGTCCCTCTTCACTTGTTGCTTGAAACTTAACGCCGTATGCCTTTGTGCCTCAATGTAATAGAATACGCGCTTCAGTGCTTGCCAGTGGACAGGACATGTGTCTGTGGCAAACTGGCTGAGAGCTCCCACTGCGGCAGCGAGGTCTGGCTGAGTCCAATCCATCAAACTCATGAGGTATTCAGCAGCTTTACGATACGGCACCTTCGTCATGGTCTATAATGGTTACAACCGTCTTTGCACCTGGTCTTAGGGTGTCGTGCCAGAATTGCTGTTTTCCACGCCAAATTTCGACAAAATGTCTTTCGAAACTTGGTCAGCAGCATCGACACACTTTCAGAAGCAACATCTTGATCAACGTCAAAACCGATAAGAATACTTGAGCTGACATAATTCTGTCATGTCGAATCGCTCGCTCAGTGCCTTCTTTGTTGATTTGAGCAGCTTGTCATTATTGCTTGCGATTACCAGACCGTCAATGTAAAGAGCCGCTTAAATCATGTTGTGGTCGTCTCGCACTTCTAGGACCCCAGCTCTATCACTGACTTGCCGATGGTCTGAAATCACATACGTGGCGGTTGCTTCAGGCCGTACAACAAGCACTTGAGCTGATAAATGTAGTCAGGGTGTTCTTGACTTGTCTAGTCGTCCGGTTGCGCCATGAAAATGTCTTCGTCGCAGAATTTATTCAGAAACGTCGTCTTGACATCGAATTGATGACCAGCTCAACCGTACCTGACCGCAAGGCTGAACAAAATCCTGATGAACGTGGACCTGGCTACTGGCGCGAAGGCTTTTAATAATCAACGCCGTACTTTTGCAAAAATCCATTGGCCACAATAGCGCCTTGAACCGCTCAACTTCTTTTGCTTGTTTCTCTTTGATTCAAAATACCCATTGACAGCCAATTATCTTCGATGTTTGATCTTTGGCAATGGCACGGGCGTCCAGGTCTTGTTGTTCTAAAGCGCTGCTTCTCCGAGTCGCATGCTTCTTTCCACTTGCCTGCGTCGCTTTATTCGATGGCCGAATTGAACGATGTCCGCATCCCTTTTACTAAATCTACGACGTAAGCTGCCTCAAATTTTCTAAAGTGCAGCAGGCATCTATTTAAACGACTGATAATGACTTGGTCGCTTTGGCCTCGAAACCTCGACTGAATTTTCTAGCGACTGTGAGCGAGTGTGGCGCTTTCTACCGGGCTCAAATTCTTCTTCATGAGCAACATCATCGCCATTTTCATTGTCCTAACTATCTGGCTGGAACGATTCTTCATCGTCGTCACCCTAAATGACAATCTTGTGTTGATTGGAGCGCATTCCACCGTCAACATGTTTTCCATAGATTGTGCGTCACGACTTATCAACACACGACCGCTTTTAAATTCTTCAAATTGATACGCTTTTAAGGGTCTGAAATTGACAGCGTACTTTCTTAGCACCAAACTTGAAT